GCATAGGCGATCTCCCGATTGGGCCGGCCCATGAATGGCAGCGAACTTGTACTGTAGTACAAGCTCTCTACATAGGCGATCTCCGACTGGGCCGACCCATGAATGCCAGCGAACTTGTACTGTAGTACAACAAAAAATCGACCTAGCTAGGAATCTAACCTTGTACCTCATGCTACAGATCAACAACTGCCACCAACTGACCTAGCACATGTTACTGACAAGTTAGCAGCGTCCTTTTTAAGAATCAACCCCACAGAGCAAATCCGAATTATTTTCCCCATTTTGAATGATTTTTTTTAAACTGAGTGTTCTGTGAATGCAAACACTTTCCTAATTGGCGAATTGCTTTAGAAAAACTGATTTCTTTTAGAAAAGCAGAAACATTTTTCGAAATCAGAAACATTTTTTGAAATTCCAAAAGAAAATTGGGCAAACGCAGACATTCTTTAAACTCCCAACCAAAATTTGAAAACATTAACATTTATTTTAAAGTTGTGAACTTTTTAACAGGAACATTTTTGGAAACTCCAAAAAATTAAAACATGAACAATTTTTAAAATTTGTGGACAATTTTTTTAAACAGGAACGTTTTTTGCAATACCGTACAGGTTTTGAGAAGTTGTGAAATTTTTGAGCAGAAACTTCGGAACATTTTTTTGAAAAAACACAAACAATGTTTTAATACGCGAACATTTTTTTAAATTATAAACAGAATTTGGAAAAACTACCTTCAATTTTATCATCTTTTATAAACTAGAACATTTTTTGAAATTTGTGAACAGTTTTCAGAAAATAAAAAAACTTTCAAGACGACTTTTTTAATACACGAACACATTTTGTTAAATAGGAACAAATTTTGAATTTATGAGCATAATTTGAAAACACTAAAATTTTGAATTATGATATGTTTATAAAAGCATGAACATTTTACGAAAAATCCGATTTGTTTTCCGAAAATAATATAAAATCGAAAAGATACATAAAAGGAAAAGAAAAGGAAACAGAAAAACTAGAAAAGAAACATAAACCAAAATTTGAAGAGGCGAACATATTTTGAAATTCACAAACAAAGTTTGAAAACACGAACATTATTTGAAACTTTTGAACAATTTAGGAAACTTGGATATTTTCTGAAACTCCGAAATAATCAAAACATAAACATTTTTTGCACTTTGCGAACAATTTTTGAAAACGGGAACTACTTTTGTAACGCATGAACATCTTTTGACAAGTTGTGAAAATTTTGAACAAAAGATTTCGCAATATTTTTTTAAAATAAGAACATTTGTTGAAAGTTCTGAACATTTCTTTAAAAAGGGACATTTTTTGAAATTTCAAACATTTTCTAAAAGCAAGAAAAAATTTCGAACATGAACTTAGTTTAAAAATCACGAAATATTTTTTTACTACTAGGTATCGGCTGGTCCGGCCAGGAATAGCACGTCAGCCGGCCCATCTAAGTCAATTAGGCTGGCACGAGGCCAGGAGAAGACAGCAGGTGCACCCACACGGCCGCACGCTCTCTCGACGACCTAGCCGCCGGACGGCCGGAGCAGGCGGAGCTCGCCCCCTGCCGATCGCCGGACGCTGCCACACCGCGCAGACCTCGGCTTCCCGCCGGTTGCCGCCACATTGTACGAGCTCGCCGCTACCACGGGATCCAGCACGGGGAGGCGGGCAGCTCGTTGCCCGGCGGCCGTCACCCAGGCCTTTGGAGCTTGCCGGATCCGCCGCCGGCTGGCCGTCGCCCATCACCTCCGAGGCTCCCCTGCCTCAGCTGCCTGCGCGCCGGTAGATTCTTATCTCTGTCTAATTTTTTCTCTGTCCTTGGCATTAACAAACTTATTCAGTGCTCCAGACTCCGGCTATTTTCAGTGTTGTTTTGTCGAATGTCAATCATATATTTGTTGTAGGCTTTAGCTAGTTTAGTTCTAGTTAATATGTTGCTACTAGCTAGTTCTGGTTATATGCTCACGAACTAATTTCTGTCCTTGTTATTATTTGTAGAAATGAAGAGAAAGACTTTGCACAGTCGGTTTGCAAGCAGGTCAAATATGCTCCCTTCTGTTCTTGAATCCAATGCTGTCCCAATTCATGCCTTACTATATCACTAACAATTGTGCTAATTTGGACTGATGGCTTGCAGAATGTCGCTTGCATTTTGGTGTGGAGGTGTTCTACAACTACAATAGCATTAGTAAGAAGCAACACCAATATCATTGTCTTTGTCATTTTTTGTTGCTTCTCTAGTACTTGATGTATTGGTATGTGAATTATATGAAACTTTGTTGTATGGTCAATCATGCTACTACTGGCTACTAGTATTGTTCTTGAGAAATTTCATGTCAATTGGAGCACATGTTTGGCACATATTGTCTGTATAAATTGGTAAAACCATTTTTTCTTTCAAAATTTGATATTTTTCAAAAAATGCAGAAAAATTACAGTAACTACTACTACAGTGTCAAAAAAGGATGAGCAGATAACCAAATCAATACGACATCGGCTAGTGCTAACTTTCCCTTCATATATATGTTTTTTTATAATTGAGGCTTCCACATACTATGTATAGAACTCCTAATAAGCATGTTAATCCAAATGAGGATTAACCAAAAGAGTATGCGTATAAATGGCACATTCAGGCTAGCTAAACCAATGCTGGAAATGAAATAAAATGATCAAAGACCATGATGGAAAAGATGAGGTTTATCACTCATATTAATGCATTGTACCTTCTTTCGTAAGTCTTTATTAACATCTTGCAGTTGTTGTTCCTGGAAAAATTAGTAATTAGTAATTCTAGGGCCTAGATGCTGAAAGATACATATAGACCAAAACCTGAAGGCTGAACAATAAAGACACATGTGTAACCTTGCGCTTGAGCTCGAAGAGCTGATCAAATGACTGCTGGCTCTGTACAAGTGTACACAGAAATAGCTGGTCAGCATTACATTTTACATCTTAAATAAATCTGATCTCAAACATTTTTATAGTTACAGCATGCATCTGAACCTACTACTTGAGAAGTACATATATGGAAATGTGATCACCAATTAATTAACTTGACAACAACGAAGTACGTACCTTTGTCGCCCTGATATGTTTGAGAGACATCTCAATGTGGTTCTCCAGTTGCTCAAGTTCCTTCATGTTAAGTGGGCCCAAGTCCTCGCCAAGAAGATTTCTGCACACGATCAGTAATTTTAGGCACTTTGTGGTGTTGGAGCTGCATCTCACAGCTCCTCTCTTCTCTCTACAATCTCTCTATCTTGGCTCAACCGCAGAACACATGCATAAATAGTCCACTGATCACTCCAAGCTCTATCCAATTCGTAAACTCTCTCTATGCATGCTTGCTAACTCTATGTCACCTATAATGCACCCTGGCAGACTTATAGGCACTGACTCAACTCTAAACTGCATGACAAGATTAAATATCTAACACCTAATCAAAGATCCATATGATATTTCCAACATTTTCTTTACAGTTAGCTTGGGACTACATACCTCTGAGTTGTCTGTAGGAAGTCAACTCTTGTCTTTAGCTTTAAATACTCCTGGTAACTGCTCTAGTTTGAATAAGAGAATTAGCAGTCCACTGATTAATCGAGTGAAATCATGAATAATACAGAACAGCATTATGCACAAACCATAGATATGTACGTTTGTTTACAAGGTACTACCAAATTAATCTTACTAGAATACGTGACATACTATAAGATACCAGTATAAGTTAGCATATATATAATAGTTTTTACATCACACTGAAACTGGATGATAAGTACTCTCCAGTGTTAATTAGTTATTGTCATATCTGATGTTGTAGCAGATTATGTCTTATTTTAAGAAAGAGATATTAAACCTATCCAGTGCATATGTTCAGAAAGTTTCATTTAATTCCGTTGAATACTTGCTGCTACTCAGAAGCAGTACATCCAAAGATCCAATTTTGAGTTATTAATTGTGTTATCTCTATTGATGCTTGATTCGCCATGACCAGTGAAATTACGTTAAGAACATTAATTTCAGTCACCAAATTGCCATCATCTGATCCTGAACCTAAGGCCTATCCAAGACTATCAGTTCACAAAATGTGTGTGACATGCCCTATATATTTATAGATAGAAACACCGCTCTAGTGTCTTGTACATGCTGTTTGGGTTTGTAATTGAAATGTATATGAAGCAACAGTGTTAAAAAGGTTACTCTTCGGACTCCGGAGTTGAAGTTGCCTCGGAGTTGAAGTTACAGCTGCGGTACCGCTCTAGAGTCTTGTACATGCTGTTGAACAACAAGAAAAATGGATTATATAGACAAGGTTTTGAAAGAAGAGAAATCATGAAATATGCCTTAACCTAATAAACATAAGAGACTATTTCTATAGACTGAAGGATTTCATTACATTGTAGTGTGGCACGACCAATTGAATAGGACAATTTAGATCGTTTAATTTCTAAGCCACCAAGTAGCTTAAACAATTGTATGCAACTGTAGCTCCCCTTTTGGATTGAAGGGCTTTGTAAGAATTTGTAGGATTTTAATCCATAGGAATTTTTCCTGTAGTGGTCCTTTAGATCGAAGTAATGAGACCCCTAACAATTTTTCATGCCCGTACCTTACTTACTTACTTACTTACGAAGCCTTTTATCCCAAACAAGTTGGGGTAGGCTAGATATGAAACCCTTTCACGAGGACTTCCCAGGAGGTCACCCATCCTAGTACTACTCTCGCCCAAATGGGTAACATTTTAAAATTTTAAATTTTCATTCTTCATTCATGCCCCATTCTAACATTTTAAAAATTAATATAAAAAACACTTCAAGTATCCAAAGGGCCATCCACATCTGCAAATCCCATGCCTTGGTTTCAGAAATCCTACATTAGCCTATTCCTGCTTTTCTCTACTACTATTAAACAAGCAAACATATTCATCACTAATCATCACTAAGTACACCCAACCTAACATACACACAACAACACGAAGCAATTACAGCCGCATGATCACAGCCACTTAATTTAATCTAACCATTAAAATTATACTAACCCTCAGCCAGAATTGCGTTAGCAATTTGCCCAAGCGGACGAAAACTCTGCCGAACCAAACATTCCGTGCTCCACTCCGATACATCGCTCTGTTAATCCAAGGAAAAAAAATCACAACCCGATGTCAAACAGATACTACCTAATTGCAGGCGAGTGATGCGGGCAACACGGGGCGGCGGCGGCGGCAGCTCGATGCAGGGAGGCGTGGGCTCCGGTGGGGCTGGGCATGGATCTAGCGGATGGCAGCCGGATCGAATCGATGACGTACGGCTCCGGCGAGTCGGAAGGGCGGCGCCGGCGGCTGAGCTCCTCCATGGACTGCTGCAGTTCCAGGGAGAGAGAGCTTCGAAGGCCTGCCTTTTCGATCCCGGGCCCCTTCTTCCGGCCCTCTCGAGCACCGACGCCGTTGTCGTTCCCCTTCTTCTTAGACCCCCGGGACGTCCTGCTGCTGCGGTCTGCACCCCGTCCCGGTCTTCGCCCGGCCACTGGGTCTCCTCCCTCCCTTTGAGGTATGCATGAGCGGCTAGGTTGTCTGATTGCTTCTTCACAGCATCAATTCTCCTTGCTAATTCAATCGGTCAATCCCACTAGGGTGGGGATGGGACCTTCGCAATTTCTGGGTCAGATCCACCCTGGGTGTAGTGTCCTTGGCACGATCATACATGCTGTTGTGTTCCTGGATTCCGTCTTGGGGATGATTTGTGTATGATTTGCTATCTTCATCTTGTGTTGTTAATTTCGGTCGCTTTTACAAAGAATGATGCGTCATAGCTTGGTGCCTTTTACGAATTTCAGTATTTGTTTAGAAGATACTGTATAAAGTATTGATTTCTTCGCGGCTAGCAACACCATTAGTGTGTTAAATATCTTCTCATCATCTGATAGGTAGATTCTAATCGCTGCTCTTCGTAGGTTTTGAAAGGAAGAAGATAAGTTGAACCATGGGGAAGAGGAAGGCGGCCGCTAAGCCACCCACTAGGAAGCCGATGGACAAGGTTGATATGGCCTTTTCCTGCCCATTCTGCAATCATGGGAGCAGCTGATGGACAAGGTTGATATGGCCTTTTCCTGCCCATTCTGCAATCATGGGAGCAGCGTTGAATGCCGGATGTTAGTACCATCTTCATGTATTTTTCCTGTTAGTTTGTTGATACTGGATGGCTATCTATCCATTCAACATTGTGTCTGGGCTTCTTTTTTCTTCAGTGATATGAAAAACCTGACTGGTGAGGCTAATTGTCAAATCTGCCAGGAAAGCTTCAGCACCACTGCAAATGGTATGTCCAAATCATACATAAAACTGCAGATTGTACCTCCTAACATAGACGTAGATGCCATACTGATTGGCTCTCAGCTAGAAAATTATGCACCAGGCATCTCATTTGGTTTTGTTCTTTCTCAACCTAATGATTGCAACTCCGGGAATAGGGTATAGCGTATGTATAAATTTTGTACAGCCATGCCCATTTCATATACTCTTGGGGGTTTAATCACTGTAATCAACTATAATAATAGAGCATAGCTGAGGTAGTAAATGATGCAGGATTATATGCTGACTCGATCGCCATTAAATGATGTCTCTACAACAGGAGGCTCTGACGAGTCGGATGGACGGCGGCGGCAGCTGAGCTTCTCCATGGCCTGCTGCAGTTCCAGGGAGAGAGCTTTGAAGGTGAGAAGGAGATATAGAAGAACAGAAAGAAGGGAGAAGAGGAAGGGCAGGGGTGTGGCGGCCTTGACTGTGAACCTCCGGTTGCGACGGTCTCCGGCGAGAGGCGGCGCATGGCATCGACGCGAGCCTACGGGGTGGCGGCAGCGGCGGCCGCTGCGGGAGCTCGGGCGTTTGGATGCGTTTGGATCGCAGGCCAAAGGTTATGCATATTAGGTACGTTTTGAATCACTATCAAAACCTGTCCATACAAAATGTTGCCATGATTTATCCTGCTGTTGGCTAGATCTGAAGTATTACCTATCAAATCAATGATTCTTTCTGTTTTGAGGCCACATGCATGTTGATTCTGTCAACACACTGGGATCCATGTAGATAGAACCATAAGAAGAGGACTGGTCATCTGATCATTGTAGGCCTTCAACGCCCATTTAGGAATTAGAACACACATATATTATTTGGATCTCTGGCCAATGATTTGAGGAGCTAGCATCAGATGATCTATCGTGGCGTAGTTCTCGGTGAGTACAACCGCGCTCTACTCTATCGTATTTTTCTACTCTAGGCACAACAATCGTGGGGTCAATGTGTTGCTTGTTTTGTTTGGGTGTTTTCTCCGTGTGGCACTGGTTGGGATTCAGAGGAGGTGCGGTGGGGGGCTTTTTCTCCTGTAGGTGAACACTCTGATCCCTTTTTATTGGACCAGGTATGCCAGATTCTGCTCTTGCAATCGAGTTTTTGCTACCCTTCATTTCCTTTAGCTGGATCACGGGATCAGTGTGGTTCTAAACTTTGTATAAACTTTTGGATTTGTGAGCAAAATGAGATGGTGGTTTGATTACCTCCCAGCCTGTACACCCGCACACACTTAACAGCTCGATGAGGTGGACGGTGGCGAATTCAGTAGGTGAGTGTCCTTTCCCTTGTACACGTGTGATAATTTGTTACTTGCTGGTTTCAGAGGCAGTACATTCTTGATTATTCGAGCCTGTGTTAACTGGTCCAGATTAAACCTAAGAAATGCAATTTTCTTTTTGGTTCGGTGTGACAATTCAGTTGTATTATTGATATCCTGCACATTCATTCTGAATTATTAAGTGTCAGTTTTGGGTGCATGTCTTCAGTATAACAATAAACTGATTTTGTGTGCTGTGATAAACACTGATTGCTGCTTGCTCATGGTTACTATGTGCAGGAAGATGATCCCGGTGGAGGAGATCCTGACGATCAACGTGAAGTCGGGGTGGAAGGAGGGCATGAAGGACACCTTCCCAAAAGGAATGATCTTATTTTGCTGGTATATAATTATGTATTTTGAAAAGTTACTGGGTGTACTTTTTATATTATCACTATAATATTTGAAGTTATATTTCTATATATTTCACTTTTCACATGAGCTGAGGCACAATTTTATTTGAAAATAAGTTGTAAACTGAAATTTCTGTATAGATTGAATGAGGTTTCATGTGTCTGAATTGCATTTTAGGTCAAATAAGTTTGCTAGGTGCAGAGGAGCTATGAGAAAAGTTGTTCAAAAACTGAATGAACTTATTTTTTTCGTTCAGTAATGGAGATTGATCATGTACTCCCGGCGTCCCAAAATAAGAGTCTCAACTTTGTACTAATTTTAGTACAAAATTGTACTAATTTTAGTAAGACACTTATTCTGGGTCGGAGGGAGTATTAGAATGTGTCAAGTTCTGCAAGTTTTGTGTTCTCCTATTGATAGCTTCTATGATTTCTGAGTTTGTTTTCTTCATTCTTCATCCATTTGCTTTGTAGTTAACTCCTCCTTGTTCTTCAGAGTTAACGCAGTAGATGGTATGGACACATCAAAAAGGAAATAACAATACTTCCAATACTAAAAGAGTTATAGTTGCTGTAGATGTCCACCTTGGTCAGGTCGGTGCCGGTCGAGCAGGATAAACCTCCTGGCCAAGCCAGTGGCGTCAGCAAGGCGGACGACTGCAGTGGTGTGGAGGTGCGATCTGTCAGGTATCTCACTCTGTTTGTGGTCAACTTTTTTGGTTCATCAATTCAAAACAAGCGTGAAGAGGTGAAGATACTGGCGTGAAGGAACTATGAGATGAGAACATGCTGAGAACAGTTCTATTGATGATCAATTGACAACTGTAATTATATTCTAATGCAGTTGCTGCAAGCTTTCTTTTTTATTTAATATCTTTCATTGCGACAACCTCTAAGATTTTCAGCCATCACTTTATACGTGCTATAGGGAGCTAATTCCTGAGTTATTGGTGTTGTCCCTTTTACTTTTCTACTCATACATTGTTGCTAATTTGGAGTAAGTACAGTAAATCTACCGACTTGGAGGTCTTTATTATGTAGTCGAGTTTCTTCATGCTTCTACTGACTTTCGTGTTGTCCATGTTTCTCTTCTATTTCCATCATGGAGAAGATAAGATGTTGGTTTGGACAATATTCTGATGCTGGTTAGTTAGAGTAGGATATTCTGATGTTGGTTGATCGTTTCCAGGCTAAGGTTCACTGGAAAATATATATTGGAACTACCAGCTATGATGCTAGACGATGCTAATGGTTTACTCC